ATCACAATTATCCCCTGCCAAGAGAGAAAGTGTGGCAAGCAATATGGAAGGACATAGCAGGCTGAGCATCCCTGCCTGCCATCAAGGATGCTTTTCCCGAGCACAGTATCTGAATCAAAAGAATGAGGTCAGGATTGGAGGGATGGGTCAGTGGTTAACAGCACTGGCTGCTCTTCCAGCGGACCTAGGTTTGATTCCTAGCACCCACATGGTGGTTTATAACTATCTACAACCCCAGCTCTAGGGGATCCTGGAATATTATATGTACATGGTGCACAAACTTGCACGCAGGCAAAACACACATAAAGTATTTTTTAGAAAGGATGAGGCAGCAGTCAAGAGAAAGCAAATCATGCAGTGTGGAAGTGAAAAGGTAGCTCAGCTGAACTGTAGTGCAGAACAGCAAAGCAAGATTATGGCATTAGGTCAGCACACCTTAATCCTGGCACTCAAACATAAGAGGCAGGCAGATCCAAGGCCAGGTTGGTCTACATAATGAGTTACAGGTTGGCCAGAACTCCACAGTGATACCATCTCTAAATAGGAAAAATAAAGATTATAATTTGTGAGACTGAAGGGGCAGATGGAGGTCAGTTAATGAGCATGGAATGAAATATTAAGGGTTCTGGACTTTGAGTAAAGGCACTGTTACAGTGTGGACCAAACAAGACTGTAATCTGGGAAATCAGTAAGTCACTGAATGAACAGTGAGCATCACTAGCAGTGTCCTGGGGCTCCGGCTTGGCTACCGAGGTAGACATTCGTATGTACGTAGGTAGGTAGGTAGTAGGTAAGTATACACACACACACACACACACACACACACACGTACACACACACCTTGCCAGTGTGGGCTACAAAGTGAGAGAGACTCTTTGTCCAAACAACAACAAAAATGGGGAAATGCAAAGCCTAAACTGTTCCACTGTTTGCTGCGCCTGTGCTGAAGACCCAAGGTCAGAACTCCCAGAATGCACAGCAGGAGAGGGATGCAGTCTGGGTCTGTGCAAGAAGCTCTGGGAATGGATGAACTTCTTGTGGGGATGAGGGAAGTAAAGCAGTGCTCTCCACTGGGCCAGGGATCCAGAACCTTGGAACTAAAACTGTGACTTCTGGGTTTACACCAGTAAGAGAAGACGGAATGTCAGCAGTTTCCACTAATTCTCTACGATGAGTGCTTACCAAGGCTGAGCCTCACCTAGGTCAAGACTCTAGCAAGTCCTGTAACTGGCAGCTGCTCAGCCCTAAAGGGTCAGCAGAGTCCAGGTGAGCCCGAGGAAGGCAGGGTCATGTGGCGCTGCAGTAAGTGCACAGGTGCAAACTCAAGTGAGACAAGGGGACAGCTTCAACAATCCCCAGTCCTCCCTAGCCCAACTTCACACTGTTTCCATGCTCACCCGTCTAGTCAAAATCAAAGACAAAAAAAAAAAAAAAAAAAAAAAAACAGATGACAAGGCCGGGCAGTGGTGACGCACCCCTTTAGTCCTAGCACTCAGGAGGCAGAGGCAGGCGGATCTCTGTGAGGTCAGCCTGGTCTACAGAGCAGAGTTCCAGGACTGGCTCCACAGTTACTGAGAAACTCTGTCTGGGAAAACAACAACAAAAAAAGACAAATGATTATGCACACACCACACAACCATGCTTTTGAACACAGAGGTATACACACCAGGGAGCTATGAGTAAGGCTTCAAAGAAGAAGACAAGGCCAGATTTAGAAGTTAGGAGGACGCAAAGCAAGTGAAACCAGAGTAGCAGCTGAGACTCTACAGTCTACAATTCCAGTGGGTGGGTGGGTGAGTGGGTGGGTGGGTGGGGCATAGACAAAGAGGAAGCTGGGGAGGGGCATGCCCGCTTGCTTAGCTCAGTTTAGGGCAAAGATGCACAGTAGAAACCTTTCACTTCCCTACCACGGCGAGGCTATCTTGTTCTTTCCCAAGCAAGCCAGCTCACACTCTCTTCAGATTACATTTCCACACCGGTGCTATCTCCCACAACACAGGCGCTGAAGGATCCACCATCGACCATTCTCTGACGCGGAGGACTTTCACACTTAGCACTCTGGGAAACCCTGGAAGCCGAGAGGACTCGCCAATTCTCCCACTGTGGCTGTGGCGTCGCTCTACTTGACTCTCTGGCAGAAAGAGTTGGTCTCTTTGACTACTCCTGCAGGGCAGTGTTATCTTCAGCCTCCCCTGGAGCACTTTGTGTTAAGGATTTGGACTTCACAGGGTAGCAGCTTATAAACAGCAGCTTTAGCACGACGAGGCCGTGCATCATAATCCTGAGTACAACTGTGCTGTTATATAATTAATAATGCGCTGGGAAATGGGGCTTGAACTCAAGAGCCTTGCACAGGAATGCTAGGCAGGCACTGTCCTACTGAGCTACACCACCACCCTCAATTTTTTAATTGGGCAGGAAAAAATGGGTGTCAGAGGAATGCAGTTCTTTACATGAAGCTATGAACGTAAGCCCTTCGGACAGTGAAGAATGGCATGTGTTTGTTTGGCAGCTCATGATACTATTTGCTGCTTAACCTAACCCAACTATTATTTAGACATGGTCGTTCAAGACCAACAAACAGTTTCATAACTTAAGGACATAAGGGTTTTTTTTTCATTAACCTACTTGGTTCTATATTTAGGCCATAAATGTAATAAATATTGATTAGGTATATAATTTTCTGAAGGGCGATAAGTACATAATAAACAGAAACTTGGCTTTTAGGGTATTCTGTAGGTCACCAAAAATGACTTCAGGAACTGTTATGAATTGCATAATCTTGGAAAAGATATGAGTCACATCAGCTTAGTCATGATATCATAGTGAAGTTGCAGCTGGGGTGTAGAAGTTTTGATTTCAAAACTGTTTTTCCTTTGTGTTTCTTTGAATAAAAGAGGATGTCGTAGGTGGAAGAAGTAGGTCACAGAATTTGTGTCTGAAACATTCTGAAATTTACCTTGAGTTCATTAGACACACACACACACACACACACAGAGCACTTGCCCTAAGCATGTCCTAACATACTCCATGTGGTTTGACATGTGTCTGTTAGGTCTTTGAATGAGTCTCCTTCCACCATGCCATCAAATTTGAATGGTGACAATCATTTAATCTTTGTGTCTCCAACACTACCCATAAGTCCTAACAGCCCCAATATTGGTTCTTCAAGTTTTAGATAAAGAGATTATACCTATGAGGTTTTTTTGTTTGGTTTTGTTTTTCGAATATAGATGTGCTATACTTTGCTATTAAAAAAATTTAAAAAGTCCAGGACAGCCTCCAAAGCCACAGAGAAACCCTGTCTCGAAAAACCAAAAAAAAAAATTATTAAAGAAAGAAAGCAATCGAAGCATTCTGGAGGCAGAGGCAGATCTCTGCATTCAAATCTAGCCAGGTCTGCAAAGCAAGTTCCAGAACAGCCAGAACTATCTGGTGAGATTCCATCTTAAAAATAAATAAAAATTTAAAAGTCCTATGACCTGCAAAGGTTGCTGAGAATATACCTAGAAATAAAGTAGTATTCCTCTACACTGTATGATTCCCTAGGATCCATGCTTTTCTTTCCACTCCCAGACAGGAAAATGGTAGCAAATTGTGTCAGATGGTGCAAAAACCACCTCACTGTCTCAAATGCAAGTTTATTCTTAATAGCATCCTTAAAATGAAGCATGTTTTTATGCTGTTTTTCATCCTGAAAATCTTTCCTTCAGTTTGTATCAACTTAAGATTTCAGCACTTCCTAACTAGCTCCTTTGGCGTTCTTTAAACTTGTCACTTGTAATCCATTTTAAAATGCAAGCACACACAAGGAAGTTATTTGAATAAAAAAGTACAATGCATTCAATGTCTGCACCAGTCAGTTACAATCTCTGTTCAGTAAATAAGACACACAAAAAAAAGGTAAAAAACTGACAGGGTTAGGCATGGTGGTGTAAGATCTTTAACCCAGCAAGTTCGAAGCCAACCTGGTCTACATAGCAAGTTCCAGGCCAACCAGGGCTGCATAATGAGGCTCCATCTCAAAACATAAAGAAAACCCACAAGGTTTCAATCTGCATAAGAAAATACTACAATGACGAGCTTAACTTCACACAATGGGGAATGCACTGTTTCACCCTTTATTACCGGTTAACTGAAATGTCTTAGATGGCAGCATTTGCAAGCTAAAGAGTCCTAAAATATCAGTTAAGTTCCCTATCACCAAACTTGACACCTCTAGAGCGTGTCCATTCTTACAATCCGGTATCTCTAGAAAATCTAAGCAGGAACCCTCCAGTTTCTAGGCTCAAAACTGTTTAAACAGGTCAGCCCTGGCAATCTGTTTAAAATTGCAAGGAACGCATTCACTGTGGCCAGCGAACCTAAGAGCTGGATTAGGACGCTTTAGCCTCGATCTCTCCACCAAGCACCTTAACAGCAAGATAGAGCTTAGGGATGATCTGGAAATCCAACTCCAAGATTCCAAATCAGGCCTGAAAATGCAAATGAAACTACTTCAGCCGGCGCCTTCCAACCAGATTACTGCTTAAGTACCTCCTGCAGAAGAAATCCAACTTCGCTTTTAAGAGCCAGCAAGTGGTGTGGAGCTTTGGACCCGTCCTTTCTTCCAGGGTCTTGCTTTGGCAGGAACACCTTGGCCTCACTGATCAGCAAGCCAAGGATCTCGACCTCTTACACCCCACACACGAACCATCCACATGCCTACACCTCTTCTTTAAACACATTCCACAAATGCAAACCCAGGCGACGGGACCCCTGCCAGGCCCTCGGTCCGGGTCCCATGAGAGACCCGCTCCAGGATGTCCTTCCTCGCGGAGGAGAGATGAGCCCATCTCTCTTCCCTCGCTCAACGCCGGGCCACACCCCCTTCCCACACTGAAAACTTGGGAACGCGCCACTGTCGCCCAAGACCCCGTCCCCGGCGCCCCCGGCGCCCCGGCGCGTCCCTTCAAGCTCCCCGGGGCCAGCCGTAGCCAGTTTGCTCCCCCGGCTCTTACCAAGTCGCGGGTGGGAGCCAGAGCCCGGTTCCTCAGGAGGTCGGGGCGCCAGGACAAGGGGCACCAGAGTGGTCAGGAAGAGGAGCCGCTGCCTCATGTTCCCGTCCGCCGCCTCTCCGGGGAACCGTCTCCTCTAGAGCGTTCGGGAAGCTGCTCACATCGGGAAGGGGAGGCGATCCTCCCGGCACTGCCCCGCAAACTTTCCCCTCCCGCGCCGCCTACAGGGGAAGAACTAGAGCGACGCTCCGGGCCCCGGAAGTGCGGGCGGCGCTCGCTGAGAGTAGCTCAGCCCGCTTCCGGCCGTAGCCGCAGACCACCCCCACACACGCTCGTACCCACAGCCGGAAGTAGGGTACCGCACAGCATTCTGGGAGGCGTGGCTCTCCCCACCCCGGCGCGGGCCCGCCGCCATCTTGGGGGCTCCATTCCTTCCTGGTCCCTCTGGGGCCCTGTCTGGCGCCTTGCTGGCCGTCAGCTCCGTGCGTCCTGAGTCGACCCGGCACAGTCTCGCCTCTGTCCCCGGGTGACCGCGGGTTAGAGTCCGCCTTAGCGTCCTGATTGAAGGGGCTGCAATGTGGCCTCGTGTCGCAGGCGGTGGTGTCGGGACGGGGGCGAGCCGCCGCCCCACGTCCTGCAGCCGGAGGCCAGGCCTCCGTGGTCACTGAAAACGCCGAGGGACTGACTACGTAGGCTTCTGGGTGTACATTGATTTGCTCCTTGGTGCTCCTTGGGCACCGGGTCTCCGGACACCGGACTCCTAACCGGTCTCCCCTTGTGAGCAGGAGCGGCCATCTACCCCAACCCGTGTCTTTCCCTGCTCGACCCTCGGGTTTGCAGTAGTTGTGCTTTTGCACTTTTTTTTTTTTTAACTCTGTGCAATGTGCTGTTTGTGGTACTATTATTAGCCCTGGTCAAATTTCAAGTGGTCTTCCTGAAAAAGCTAAACAGTGATTTAAATTTGTTCCTTGTGGAATGTCCCAGTTAAAGTCTTGCGTCGTTTTCAACATTGAGCTTGTGCATTTTTTTTTGGCATATTAGCTAAACCCAGTCCGTACATCTGAGGTATAAAATGCTTTCAGCTAGACATACACATTCATGGCGTATCTAGTCAAAACACAAGAAAAAAAAGTTCACCCCATACATGAGATGTGACGGCTGTGTATGGCTTTTTAATAATCTGAATCTTACGGTAGTTCTTTTGAGAATCTAGGCACCACGTCCTCATGTTTGTAACTTTAGTACACTGTAGGTTATATTTTTGTGTCGCCTGCAAGGCCCTGCTTAAAAAAGGCAATGAGCTATGTTTAGTAAATGCTACTTTGGTGGTTCTCAGACCTCCAGTGCTGCGATCCTTTAATACAGCTAGCTCTTCATGTTGTGGCCCCCAACCATAACATTATTTCATTGCTACTTCATGTCTGTATTTTTGCTACTGCCATGAACAATAATGTGAATATTTGATATGCAGGATATCTTAATGTGTGAACCTGGGAGAGGGTGTCACAATCCATAGGCTGAGGACCACCGTGCTGGTTTTTGAAAAGCTTCTGGCTGGGTGTTAGTGGCGCAGGCCTTTAATCCCAGTGCTTGGGAAGCAGAGGCAGGCCGGCCAATCTCTGTGAGTTCAAGGCCAGCCTGGTCTACAGAGTGAGTTCCAGGACAGTCAGGGCTGTTTCACAGAGAAACCCTGTCTCAAGGGGGAGAAAAACAAACTCCTGATCCACTATATTCACAGGAAGCCCCAAGTAATCCTTGACACCCACAAGTCAGGGTTCAAATTATGATTCTAATGATGTTCATCTTTGGTTTAGCAATAGTCCATTGCTTTAGAATCAAAGAGCTCCACTGACAGAAATACCCATGCTGGATAAAAGTCAGCACAACAGAACTGGCTGGTGCCTGTCATCCTAGTGCTAGGAGGCTGACATAAAACAGCCAGGGCTGTGTGGAGAAACTCTCGAAGTTGAAAAACTCACAGTCAACGTCTGGTCTTCAAGCGTTTATTGTTCGGGGATTTGTTTGGTTTTTGTCGGGAGGGATAGGTGGTTTGGTGTGCTGTCTGGGTTAGGCTTGTTTTGTAACCCTGCCCAGGCATTCCTCCCTCAGCCTCCCAAGTGCTGTTGATGACAGCATGAGCCAGCACACTGGCTTCAAGCTTTTTATTCTTTTACTCTCAAAAGAGTTTTTTAGAAGTATGTTCCCACGAGGTAATGTTCTCATTATAAATGTAACTGGCTGCAGTGTTTGAAATCCCTATCATAAATGTATGTACACTTAACTGCCAGGTCATCTTTTACTGTTTGCCAGTTAAAGATAAATACCTCCAGTTTCATAGCACTGCTGGGCCCTCCACCACAGTGTCCAGTGACCCTTCTTACAGTCAGCCGCCTCCCACACTGGTCTCCTTCCATTGTTGCTGCGGGTGTGTGACTTAGAGCATACACGTGCGGTAGAAATGACATGTCACTTCCAAAATTAGGTTTTTACATACTTTTCCATCTCACATTCTCTCCTCTTTGTTACTGTTGATTTAACAGTCTTAGACAGTCTTTTAGGGTGGTCTTAAAAGTGAAACTCGTAGCCGGGCGTTGGTGGCACACGCCTTTAATCCCAGCACTCGGGAGGCAGAGGCAGACGGATTTCTGTGAGTTCAAGGCCAGCCTGGTCTACAGAGTGAGTTCCAGGACAGCCTCCAAAACAATACAGAGAAGCCCTGTCTCGAAAAACAAACAAACAAAAAAAAAACAAAAAACAAAAAAAAAAGTGAAATTCGCCAGGCATTGGTGGTGTACGCCTTTAATCCCAGCACTCGGGAGGCAGAGGCAGGCGGATCTCTGTGAGTTCGAGACCAGCCTGGTATACAAGAGGGAGATTCTCCTGTCTTGGCCTCACTGGTGTGCTAGTATTACACTGAGAAAAGCCAGTATTGATGCTCTGAGTGCACTCGGGAAAACCCCAGCGGGATGGATAGATAGGAGCGCAGGCCACCAGCTGAAGACTTGAGTTACAAGAAACAAGATCAGAAGTGTTTACAGGGGTGGAGAGAAGCCCCACAGGTAAGAGCACCCACCTGGTGGTCCACAGCCTGTAACTTCAGTTCCAGCAGATCTGATGCCACCTTCTCACCCCCAAGCATGTACATGGTACACAAACACGATGCAAACAAACACCCATAAAAGTCAATTTTAAAAAGGATTACTGTTTTGTTATCCTACTTAGGGACAATTTGCTCTACAGCCATTACCATGTTGTCTTGATCTGGGTTCTAAGATTTAATGAAGGAGTCTCTTAGCTGGGAGTGCTTTTTTTTTTTTTTTTTTTTTTTTGGTTTTTTTACGAGACAGGGTTTCTCTGTATTGTTTTGGAGGCTGTGGGTCCAGCCTGGCCTCGAACTCACAGAGATCCGCCTGCCTCTGCCTCCCGAGTGCTGGGATTAAAGGCGTGCGCCACCACCGCCCGGCACTGGGAGTACTTTTAATTCCAGCACCCGAGAGGCAGAGAAAGGCATATCCCAGAGTTCAAGGCAGCCAGGGCTACGCAGAGAAACCCTGACTCAAAACCAAAAAATTTTTAAAGGAAAAGTTACTTGAAATGTACTGATCCTACCCTACGTTATGAATTATTGAGTTGATAGTCAATTTAAGTAGTACTTGTGGTTGTTAGACACCACATCACATATCTATCTGGTTCTGAAATACTATTTACCCTTCAAATACTGAACACTGATTGTAAAACTTCATCTAGGAGCTGGAAAGATGCTTCTATGGCTAAGAACACTAGCTGATCTTCCAGAGGTCTTGAGTTCAATTCCCAGTACCACATGATGGCTCACAACCATCTGTATTGAGATCTGTTGCCCTCTTCTGGCGGGCAGGGATACTGGCATGTAGACAGAACACTGCATATGTAATAAATAATGTTTTTTTATAAAACATTTTTTAGATTTACTTATTTAGTCTACAGCATCTGTCTGTATGCCCATAGGCCAGTATATATACAGCGTTCTGTCTTCAAGAATGTCTCCAGGCCAGAAGACGGCACCAGATCTCTTATGGATGGTTGTGAGCCACCATGTGGTTGCTGGGAATTGAACTCAGGACCTCTGGAAGAGCAGTCAGTGCTCTTAACCTCTGAGCCATCTCTCCAGCTCCCTAAATAAATCTTAAGGAAAAAGAAAGAAAGAAAGAAAATGGGGGTAGTAAATAAAGAAATGGAAGAAAAAACAAACCAAAAAAACCAACATATCTCTTAAGAAAGGAAGGAAATCAAGAAAAAACAAACAGATGAAGGAAACAATTCAAACAGTTCAAGACCTGAAAACTTAAATAGAGACAATAAAGAAAACACAAACTGTGGGAATGCTGGAAATAGAAGAGCTGGGTAAATGATCAGGAACTACAGATGTAAGTATAAAAAATAGAATACAAGAAATAGAAGCGAGAATCTCAGCTGTTGACGACTCACTAGAGGAAATACAGTCATCGACCAAAGAAAATCAAGTCCAACAAATCCCTAACACAAAATATACAGGAAATATGGGACACCATGAAAAGACCAAACCTAAGAATAGTAGGTATAGAAGAAGATGAAGAAATACAGCTCAAGGGTCAGAAAACATATTCAACAAAATCATAAAAGTAAACGTCCCCAACCTAAAGAAAGATATGCCTATGAAAGTACAAGAAGCTTACAGAACACTAAACAGACTGGACCACAAAAAGAAATCCCCTTGCCACATAATAATGAAAACACCAAACTTACAGAATAAAGAAAAAATATTAAAAGCAGCAAAGGAAAAAGGCCAAGTAACATGGCAGACCTATCAGAATTAGACCTGACTTCTCAATGGAAACACTGAAAGCCAGAAGGTCCTGGATAGATGTCCTACAAACACTAAAGGAACATGGATGCCAGCCCAAACTACTATACCCAGCAAAGCTTTCAGTCACTATAGATAGCAAAAACAAGATATCCCTTGACAAAACCAGACTTAAACAACATATATCCACAAATCCAGCCCTACAGAGAGTACTGGAAGGAAAACTCCAATCCAAGGAAGTTAACTACACTCACAAAAACATAGGCAATAGATAATCCCACAATACCAAACACCAAAAGTAAAAAGGGGAAATCCACACACAATACCAACAACAACAAACACAAAACAAGAGTCAACAATTGATGGTCATTACAGGTGTTACCTCAGAGTAAAGGGTTGGGAAAAGATTTTCCAATCAAATGGACACAAGG